TTCAGATTTTTAAAATGGTCTTGAACCAGATCTTCTCCTACAGTGGGTGCAAGGTCTTCATTCATTAATACCTCTAGCTAAGTTTAATTCTAACTGGGCCTTAGCTTTCCTAACCTGGTCCCTAGCTTCCCGGACAACATCCCTGTACTCTCCCCAGGCCACCTGTCCTTGCTTCCACTTATTATAAGCCTCTTTTTTCATTTGAATTTTCCTCAGCAGCTTCCTATCCATCCAAGGAGGTCTCCTGGCCCTCCTGCTGCACTTCCTTCTGGTTGGGATGCAACACTCCTGAGCTTGTAGCAGGTGATCCTTGAATATCAACCAACAATCTTGGGCCCCTCTGCCCTCTAGGGCTGTATCCCATGGAACCTTACTAAGCAGCTTCCTGAAGAGGCCAAAGTCTGCTCTTTTGAAGTCCAGGGCAGTGAGCTTGCTGCACGCTCTTCTCCAGGCCTGAAGGAGGGTACGTATGAGGAGGCTGCTAATAATTGCCCCAAGTATATGTGGCAATAGTTGTCCAGTGGAAGGAGAAAGAAACTGTCAATAAGATTGTCCTTGAGGAACAGCAGTGGTACGTAAGTCCCATGCGATCAGGCCTCGTTTAGAATTGCAGAACGCTTTGGGTTGTAAGAGACCTTAAAGATCGTCTAGTTGACTGCCCCCTGCAGTGGGCAGTGACATTTTCCGCTTCCATGCTCAACAGCCCCATCCAGCCTGGCCTTAAACACTTCCAGTAATGGGGCATCCACAGCTGAGATAGATGACCAGGAGTGTGGTAAAAGGTAAATTCAGGGAACTGATTTTCACATGTAGAGAGGATACAGACTTGCATTTCTTTCCTCTCAGAAAAACTTACCTTCAGATCATGGATCATCATTCTTAAACTATTTTCCTCTACTATGTAATCTCAGCACCTTCTGAGCTTACCAAAGTCCAGACTGCTTGCCCGTGTTTGCATATGCAGAAATGCCGTGTGGCAAATTCTTGGAACGTCAAAAGGATTTTAACATTAACTCTAGAGCAGAGGCTTCACTCTCAACTATTAGGTAGGTTTTGTTCCCACTGTACTTAGCATGATGGTGTTGAGTATGTGAGAAAGGGCTTTGATACTAGAAAGGCCACTGCCAAGACAAGGATTTGGACAGTGATACTATGTGGGATGTGGTAGAATTGCTGCTAAAGAGTCACTTGACTCTTAAAGTCAGTTTTAAGTAGTGTGAAACAGTATGTGTAATTATGGTCAAATAACTTGGGCATTCAGACACCATTTCAGGCATGTTTACCCGTTTCCAGAAAACAATCATCTTACACTTTGCCACTGGGCAAGTCCAGCACAACTGTTTGGCTTAGTGCATGGAGAGTGGTTTGGATCCTTCCCAGCTGAGGGGCTTCAAGGACTTGCTTGTGGTTGTATTTACAGCAGCAACATCGAAGAGTTTTCAAAAGCTCAGAATTTCCTTGGTAGCAGACTGTGAGAAGTAATCATAACAAGCGAAGTAATGCTGTTACGGGTGCTGTTCTGTTGGCAAGACAGAATGCACTAATGGTGCATACTCCTACAGCAGTGAAGCAGAGCTGATGTGGAAGTACTCTGAAGGTGCAGTACATTGCAAGTTGGTAGTTGAGAGGAAGGAAACCTGTAAAGAATAGTTTTTCTTTGTGTTGGCTCACAACAATAGATAGATCTATTATACTCTTATTATTTGCTTTGACTTAGAATTTATTTGGTTTTTTTTACTGCATTTAACTTTGAACAGTTTTTTTTAGGCATGCTCTGTGTGGGTATGTGGACTTACAGCTTTTGCTTTGCAACCTTGCTGGCAAAACTGATGCTCCTTCTCTGGGCTGGTTGGAGAGGTTGGCACACTGAAGCAGTGCTGAGCATGTCTGTCTGCAGGGAGAAACGGGGAGTCCACCTCCTGTCCTCAGCAGCCTTGCAGCACGTGCCAGCCAGAGGACAGAGATGCACAGGGTTTGCTGCAGGGTGCAGGCAGCAGCTGGGCGTGCAGGTCCGAAGTGGCCACCTTTCTTGCCATGGTAGGGTGCACTTCCCTAGCTGGCTCTCAGCAGGACTTCTTGTCAGCCATCTGCATCGATAATTTGACCTGACATGTATTCGGATGTTTGCTAGGGAGGCTAGTTAAAATTGGAGAAAAGCTAACTCTGAAGAGCTTGGCAAAATGATGAATTCTAAATGCTAGGTGAAACCCCACATACTTGGCTTTCAGACTCGAAGCTCTGCCAGGCATGCTGATGCTTTCAACTTGGCTGCAATCCTCAGAGCTTTACTGTGGGTAGAAAACATGTGAGAAGTCTGGGAATGACGAGCTGAAGTTAAACGTGAAAATGTGTGAACTCTGAATTTGCTTCTCTCTTTCTAGCTGCAGGCTAAACCTTTTGATGAGCTTAAACTAAATTCTTTAAGGATGCCCATTCAGGCAGTCCCTCTGTTGGCATGATACTCTGTGGGTTACTTGGAATTGTTGGCAGCTGTCTGAAGATTTTTTTTTTTCTTTTCTCATTAAAATTAATGGCAGATCTTCTGTGTGTTAAGACAGCTTTGAAGATTAGTCAATGTTTCCGGAGGCAAGAGTAGTAGCTGTTTCTAAAGCTAGATGCATAAATGCAATATATTCACTACAGCACTTGGATTATGAAACATCTTGATTTCTTTGGTTTTACCTTCTTGGCTTAATACTTCTTTACACTTCTGGCTTATTTTCTTTTGTGGAACTTGTAATGAGGTTTATAGAGAAGCAGAGTGTTCTCACCACCAGCTCATTGCAATTATATTTGGGGAGGGTTTTTTAAGACAGGAGGCTAATCATAGTAATATGTAATGGTGGACAGATGTCCAGCTTTGGGATCTCTCAAAGGTGGCTGCAACTCCTTTGCCTTCCCTTCTGCTGCCCATCCATGTGGGTGTTGTGCAGTTGGATGGCATGGTACGAGGCCAGGCATGCGGTGGGCTTGATGCCCATTCATGCGTGCATCTGTATGACTCGGAGATCTGTGTGGTTGTGTACCTCCTCTAGTTTAGGCTGGGTCCGAGTGAGGAGGATGCTTTCCCAAAGCAGGAAGAGATGATGTTGAATGTGGTGGAAACTGGAAGGTGTGAGAGTAAGCACTATTTTTTCCAATAATCATGGGTCAGGCTGGAGAGACTGGTAGATAATAACTAAATCAGTACTAGAATGTGTCCTGGTTGACTGTAGTCTGTATTTAGTTCAAGTAGATCATTGTGGAATAATACACACAAACCACAAAATACCACACAAAATGCTGTGTTGCACAGAAACTAGAAGTCACTGGTTTTCTTTAGGGGATTAAAATTTGATCTTAAAACAATATAGAAAACAAGTGTAACTGCTGAATGAGTCCCTCCAGAGTGTCTGTCTATTCAAACTCTGTAGAATTACATACACTCTTGGATAATGCTGCTGGTGATTTAATTGCAAATCCCAACAGAGGATTATATTTGTAGTCACGGGTAGCAAGCAATAATTCTGTCATGAACACGGAAGCAACCAAAGAACACAAAGCCCACAAATCCACTTACAGTGTGCTGGAAAACACCGTGCAAGTTCCCTGTGTTTTGGCAAGCTGTTTTCCTGTATGCATCAGACTTCTGTACCAAACAGAAGTTGCCATGAGTTGGTATGCTGCAACTTTAACATCATCATCTTGCATGAGTCTGAACTCCCGGGGCTGGAGAGATGGTGTTTGGTTAAGTACTGCTGGTTGCAGCTCTAGGCAGTGTGTGAAAACCAAACTGAGGAATACAGTGCAAAATCTGTGACAGGTTCTAGCTGTGGAACTGCAGCTTGAATTCTTAACCACATGCTGATGTCTGTAAGAGATGAGTTGTGGAAGTCTTGGAGGCACCAGTTTCAGAGCCTCCAACAAAAGGCACTGTATATCACTGCTGATCCAGTCAGGGGTTTTCAAAACCAGTACCCTTGTGATTCATTTCCATGTATGACTTCTGCTTTCATGTGGTAGACAACACATTGCACTTGGGGGCTGTTTTGTCTTTCATATTTTCCAGAACAGTGCAGAGCATCCCCTGCCAAATAGGTGTTAGGAAATAGATTGTATCAATAATACTGAAAGGCTACAAGGTGCAGGCAGCTGTTGGCTTGCTATACTGAGTAGCACTCTAAAAGTCTTTTTGGGAGCTTTCATAGCAAGTATGCATGGAGATTAGGAAGTTTGACATGAGGGTGTTCCAGGTTTGGCTGCTTTCAGATAAGCTGTTATGGAAACAGCTTATTTGCCAATGCTGGGACACAGCACTGCTGTTGTTAGTGACTTCTTGGATTGAGTGTGGCTTGCACCCTGGAGCAGGTACAGGGACAAGGAGGCAGTGGTCTGGGGCAAGGAGTGCTGCTGGGTAGGAGGGAAAGAGAAGGTGGCAACAAAGCTGAAATCAAGAAGGGGTGGAACCCCCTATGCTGTGATGAAAGCTGGAGTGTGTTAATAGCAGGACTGATGCTGTCTGTAACAGTCATGGTGTACACGAGGCATCATGCTAGCCTTAAATAGCTCCAATGAGTGATGAATGTAAATGAGTCTTGTTTGTAGAATGACTGGGTTTTTTGTCAGTAGCAGAGACTGTAACTTGGGGTTACAGAGAGGTGTTTGTAGGTAACCCCCAATGGCTTGCATGGTGGTTTATTTCTTTTTGCGTCTGAAAAATAATGTGGAGGCAAATACAAATTCAGAAATCTCTTTGCAAAATATCCACAACTGGAAATGGAGGGGAAAAAATTTCAAGGCTGATTTCAAGGAATTTTAATTCTTTATTCAAGACGAAATAAGCCTGCTGCTGCCATCTCCAGTACTGTTTACTGTGTTCGGTTAATGATGGGTTTTAAGCTTCCGTAAAGTTCAGTCTGACATCCATTTTGTTTTTTTATTTAATCCTTAAAATTATGTGCCAACATGTTTGTGAACAAAATCTGACCATTTAATTGTTTTTTGTTTTCATTATTTACAAGGTGGAATATATGTTAGTGAAATTTGACCATGAGAATAAGAGAGTGCGCTTGGCACTCTGTGGTGAAGAAGTTCTTCAAACACTGCAAGACAAAGGGGAGAAGGTAAATCCCAAGTGAGTACCTGCTTCCTGTTTCTTCTTTTACTTTTTTCTGTTATGGTACTGTACATAAAGTGTTAACTTTCAAATTTGCTGTCACTAAAACTATATTTTTACATAAATCTGGGGTGCAAGAAGTGAAAGATTTGATCACATTTGCAGGCAGTCCATGCATGTTTTGTTATGCCTTGGAAGAAAGAAAGATGTAATGGTGAGCCCACAGAAGTTACAGTTTGGTATTCATTTTTTCTTGCTCTGGTTTTGTGTCTGTGTATACACAGTAATTTGGTACTAGGCCTTCCCTGCCCCATAAAGCATATGCATGGGTGCACTTGCCCCTGTATCCATGGCTGCAGGAACAAGTGAGGGCTGTGTGTGGAAGCCTGTTGTCTGTAGGAGCACTCGCTCATTTTTGGCAGAATTAGGAAAGTAAGTGTAAGGATGGCAGGGCAATTCTTCCCCATCCTCTCGCATGGAGAATAATGAGATTTCAACTAGCTAGAGAACTGTGAATTACCTTTTAACCAATAGCCACAGAGAAATAAAGCCAGAGACAGCAAAGTGTTTTTGGTGAAGAAAGCCAAAGCAGGTCACACTTTAACGGGAGCATAGAAACTGCTGTAGTAACGAAAAGCTTTTGTTCCGTGGGCCTTTCTGCTTCTTTCTAGGTACCTTAGCCTCATCTTCCAGTAAGGCTTCCCTGTTTTCCTCAGTAGAAGTACTACCTGCAAGAAGGAAACCCTTAGCTTTTAGGCTCAAAACTACTACTGCCAGAAAAACAGTAGGGGAGATGTGACTGTCTCTTTGTCGTGTGTGCTGCATAGAGGTGGAATGGCTTCCCAGAGGGGATGGGAAGGTATTACTTTTCAGGGGTGACTAGATGCACTCAACCTTCTTTTAATTTCTTAACCTGGTAAATTTATGAAACAAAACCAGATATTCACAGGCAGTAGAAAGAAGAAATTGAGCATAACTTTTGCCTTGCCTTGTACTGTGAAAGCAGTTGAGCGTTCTGTATTTTCCAGTTTCAGTTAAAACACCGAGGAACAAAGCTTGAGACAGACTCTAAAAGTGACTGAAATTTGACATAGCAAATCCTACTTGTTACACTATACAGCAATACTTTCTACTGCCAAACTATGTTTTAATTTCTTTTCACCGCTTCCTGGTGGTGAGGTACATTGGAAAGTGCATTGTGTTACTCTATTGAATAATCAAATTTAGGAAATTTTTCTTGCGAGTTGCATTCATTTCTGAAATTCTCACAAATAATTCATTCTTTTTTTTTTGAAGTTGCAGAAATATTTAAATGAGGCTATTCTTTCATTATAGCCACCCAACACTCTGGCGACCAGAATATGGAAGCTATATGATTGAAGGGACGCCTGGGCAGCCATATGGGGGAACCATGTCTGAATTCAACACTGTGCAGGACAACATGAGGAAAAGACGGCAAGAGGCCGGTTCTGTTCTTAAAGAAAATGAGGCTATTTGCACTGTGACATCGTTTCCAAGGTGAGATATTTGCTGAAGTGTTTCCTGTTCTTCTTACACTCTTTTTGTCCTTATTGTATATAGCCACACTGTGTAGTGAAACAGAGGAAAACACAATTCAATTAAATTAAATTCAATTGACTTAATGCTCCAGTCATTTTTTCCTAAAATTTTTACTGCAGCAAGACAAACAATTAAGCATCTTTTATATTTTTAAGTTACTTGTAATCTGTGATGATTTTGTATTAGGAGGGAATACCTGAATATTTGTAACAAAGTATTATATAGAGAGTAGTCTGCCGTCTTGAATTCAGAAGTAAAAATCATATAGAAAAGGTTTCTTTTTACAGATTTTGCAAGCTTTTATCTTTACAAACGGCAGTTTTGTAAAACATGACTAACCTGGTCTCTTTTTTTAACACTACTTTTTCATTGAAGCACATGCAAACTTGTTTTGGTGGCTTGGAGCACACAGGAGAACAGGAATGCTATTATCCTTACAAAATAAAGACTCTAAACTTCTATAATGCTGTACTTACTGAATCTAGAAAGAAGAGCATCTCTCCTGGCTTCGTAACACACTTACAAAGGACAGATTTCCTCTTTTTTACTGTTGTAAAAAGACTCTTGAAGTTAAATTTGGGATGTGCTTCATTATCTGGGAGGACCTGTACTCTGACCTTCCTTTCAAACGTCATTCTAGGCAGGCATTTGTGTTCACTCTCACTAGCCTGGTCAGCCAAATGGATGAAGATAGTTATGCTTAAAATAGTAAAAAAAAAATAAAAATAATTGCTCTGCAGTAAAAGAGAAGCAGCCTTACTAGCTGGTTTCTTGTATGGTACAGAACACAGTGGCCCTAAATTCTTGCTGAGAGCAAGAATGGTACAAAATGTGCCTTAGCAGCAAAGTTCAGGTAGCAAAATGCCTATATTATGTCCCATGAATGCTATTTTGAGAACACTCTTGACAAAATATGCTTCCTCTTTATAAGAGCTGTGCTAGAAATCTTTAATAAGAGCTTATTTAAAATCCAGTGGTTAATGATTAGTTCTCAACGTGTTACAGAATTGGTGGGGATTTTTTTTTTCCCTACAAGCTTACAAATAGATTGTCAGTCAATAAATTCTGTATACAAATGTTTCAGACCCAGTCTCACAAGGAATAAAGGGAGGAGGTCATCACTTTGTCAATGCAAATAAATAATTTCTGCATCACGGTAGGAGCAATACATTGGACTTAAGTGAAAACCAGTAAATAAGAAAATGTAGCTTATTACATGTGGATCATCTCAAACATAGTTTCATCTTTCAGAGATTTCTCTCCCTAGGCTATTTAGTTTCTTATTTCTGCCTTTTGCTATCTTGCCACTCAAGTCCTTGTTGGTTCAACTGGAGTTTTGTGGGTTTGGGTTTTTTTTGCTACCTTCTCCCTGCAGCAGTATGTACATATGCCTGTCTGCATCTGTCCATATACATGTGTGTATAATAAAAATAAATCTGTGCATCTGAAATGAGAAACTTGTTAGAGTGCTGATAGAAGAAAGGTAAAGAAGTAGGTTTATTCAAATTAGAGTAACTCAGTTAAAAATGAACAAACCTGAAAATGCTGAAATATTAAAAAAAAAAAAAAAAACTAGTTTAGGAGCTAAACGAGTGTCCCTGGTTTTTAAATTTGTGAGCTCTCACTACTGGGTCAGAATGGTGTTTTCTTTCTTGAGGAGTGATGAAGTTTGCAATGTTGTTATTATGTAAGTGATGAGGTTGGGTGTACATGTTGTAGGACAGCTTGCATACTTAAACCAAGAAGAAGAAAACAATAGTGAAGTACGTGTTGACCATAAATAGTATTTCCAGAAATGTGTGTGTTCCTGGTATTTTGAATAGTTTGACTGTAGTTGTATCAGCTAACCCTTTTTATACATCCAAATACCAGAGCTTCTCAAAATGGCACAAGTCTCACTCTTTATACTGTGCAGCATGGGGAAATTAATATTTCTAAATTAATCTACAACTCTGCCTCCAACTTCTCTAGTGTTCCTTTGTCTTAGCTGTACTGAAAGCCTCCTTATTCTTGTTTCCGACGACTCTCAAACTTACAGCAGAGTTTCCAGAGAGGAAATTAATTATATTCTAATTTATTTGAATATCTCTGCATTTTACACCTAATAGCTTTCTTTTTTCTTTGCTTATTACATTTCTCCCGTGGGATTTTTCAGAGTTCTAAAATCACAAATCTCTGTGAGGCTTGGGATGTATGTATCACTTTGAAACTATTGCTAATTCTTATGAAGTTGGTTAGGTACATCTTTTTAACAGGGGTAGATTGTTGGGATAAATTACTTCAGCAGTCAACATTAGCCTGAACCCTCTAGAATGCAGCTGCATGTCAGTATTAATAACAGGTGCTAACACACAAGAATGCATGTGTACTCTACATAATACTATGGAGTTTCGTGCTTCTGCTATTCTAAAGGTCCATGTTTACACTGTAATGATAATAGAGAAGTGGTTAAAAAAAAAAATAGGGTCTGTTTCATCCACCAGGAAGCTGGTTGTTGGCAAACACAGACCTTGTAAGGGCAATTGTTTTAAGATATCTTTCTGGTAATTCCACACGCATAGGTAGCAGTCTTGAAAAGCACTTCAGAAATATGGTAAATGTAAGTGTTTAAAAAAAAGAAAAGATAAAATCTATTTTCATGCCTTTGTCTTCTGCAGTCCTAATCTCCAGTCATCTGACCATTTTAAAATCACAGTCTGTTTTCATTACAGTTTGGATCTCATTGTTGTGTTACATAGGTTAGGGTGTCCTGGGTTTACAGTGCCGGAATATAAGCCAACGCCCGTAGAAGGAGGAGCTTCCAAATCCCTGTTTTTTCCAGATGAAGCCATCAATAAACATCCTAGATTTAGGTAAGAGTGTTTGGGGAGTAAGAACAAGAAGCTGAATATTTTTCTGTGCCTAAATATCATCAGCATACCTGCAACTTCCTTACATTACTGGAATAGAGAGTTATGTGGCTTGTTGCTGGAGATACCACAAGGACTTGGAGAGAGACGGCTGTGATGACATGTATTTTCTGTCAAAGTGACTTAAACTGTTAAGTTCAAATAACTTTACATAGCAGTTGATGACATTGATTGTACAGTAGTTCATGTTGATTGTGCTACTGTAAAACTGTTTCCAGTTTGAAATCCCACTGCTAACTGCTTCCATCACAGTTAATCCAGCTCTCACTCAGGTATGTCACAGCAACATCTCACTGTACTCATTAATTTGCCCTAGAAACTCTGAAATGGAGCATGGTGTCAAGCTGCTTGTATAGTCTGAGAGGAGTTTTCATTGTAAGGTGAAACTTTGGAGAAAGAAAATCATTATATTTAGAAACTAAGCATACAGTTTTCACTTGCCCTTGTATGCTTCATGTCAGTAGCCTTTCGCTTCTGCCTGTTCTATCAGCATAGTACTGTAAAGTCCATTAAAGTAAGACTGGCTTTACTGAAGAGAAATTCAGCATTGTATCTGTTATGGTCTATCTTAAACTAAGAAAATAAGTGTCCAAAAGTGAAATGCTCAAAATAAATAGAAAGTTGACATTCTGAAACCTTGAGAATTGCCGAGAAACTAAGTGAAAAAACTACATGCAAGAGAAACTTTCAGATATTTCAGCAAACTCCTTTTGTTGTAGTACACTGACCAGAAACATTCGGCACCGAAGAGGGGAAAAGGTTGTAATAAATGTACCAAGTAAGTAAACAGTCTGTTTCTTTTTCAAAATAATTGTTCAGTCTAATGCTCTGGGTTACTGAGTACCTGCATTTTCCGCTCAGTCTTTAAAGATAAGAACACACCATCACCATTTATCGAAACATTTCCTGATGATGATGGAGAAGCAGCAAAGGCAGCTAAGCCAGACTACATATATATGGATGCTATGGGATTTGGAATGGGCAACTGCTGTCTTCAGGTAAAATACGTCAAGGTGTCTTTCCTAAATTCTTCCCCTCCCTTATGTCTGATTCCTCCAGCTTAATTCAACAGATGCATTTTCAGAATGGCAACATAGGGAATAAAACAACAAATTAAATCTTATGCCTAGTAATCTAGTCTTAAAATCAGGTGTGTTGGATTTGCATGGCAAGGATTTGGTAGTGGGAGGTCTACAGTGATGGTTTCTATGAGAAGCTGCTAGAAGTTTCCTCAATGTCCAGTACAGCCAATACCAGATGGCTCCAGGATGGACCCACTGATGGCCATGGCCAAGCCCATCAGGGATGATGTTATAACGTACCTCTGGGATAATGTATTTAAGAAAGGGGAGAAGTTACTGCACCAGGAGCAATTGCAGCTGGAGAGGGGAGTATGTGTCGGAAACAGCTCTGTGGACACCAAGGTCCATGCAGGAAGTGCTCTAGGTGCCAGAGCAGAGATTCCACTGCAGCCACAGTGAGGCAGGCTGTACTCCTGCAGAAGGAGAGCTTTCTCTTTTGTGTCATTTTGTTTTATTTACAAACCACATGAACTCCTGTATAAAACTTCTTAAATACGTTTAGTGATCTGCTAAGAAGTCTCCTCGCTGCTTGTACCGTGAAGCTGCCAAATCCACATGGGTAGCTGTCTTCTGTTATTGTGTGCTGGGAGACATTCTTGGTTGTTTTCTCCCATTTTTTGCATGCCTACTTTGTATTGTTTTCATTCATTTGTCTGAGTTACTGCAGTTTTATAGTGTCCTCTGTTTAAGTTGAAGTGCTGTGCTTTAATCCTTTCAATATCTATTTTAAATGTTTCCCTGCCATAGTAACCTGATACTATGGGCTGATACCTTAGGTAGTAGTGGTATATTTGACTGTTGAGAAAGTCTGTCTGTTGCCACCGTGGTCTTGGAAGCAGAGCTAGAAAGTGGCTAGTGTTAAATCTCTAGGGGATTAAAGGAAATTCTTCAATCTCTTGTTTCACAGCAGTGGCAGAAATAGCTCCATTCAAAGCACTTCCCTTTGAGATTGATAAACTGCGAAAGCTGAATAGATGAATGTTCTTGATAGCTCCTTGAGTATGATTTCTTGTCGCTAAGGGTAAACTAGGGAAAATCTGACGTAGTTCTAGTAGTAAAGCATTTATAATACTGCGTGGTTTTACAAGGTGTTAAGTTTGGTATGGTGTATTTTGTACTATCTTATTTAAAACCAATAAAAGAAACACAGCCTTACTATTCAGAACTTGTTTAAAAATATATTAAAATCCTTTTTAAGGAATAGTGGTTTACTATTCCCCTTCTTGTAATCAGTGACCTAATTTTGTAGTCTTTTTATCATAAAGGGAGAATGAAAACAAGGTTGGCAGGTGTTATAAGCAGCTGCTTGTGTATCAACAAATAGTTCTTGGTAAAGGACTAGAAGAAAATGTGTTCCCTACCTATTTTCTGTAAGGTAGTTTGCAGTATGTGCACTTCCTTTTGCTTTCTTCTCACTATGCACCAAGCTACAACTGTGATATGTTTCCAGGATTAAAAATAATGTCCTTATGAGCTGGGCTGGGACAGCCCACAGCATCTGCCTGCAGCCCTCCTCTAGAGAAGACTGCTGTGCCCTTTTCCTCTGTAATTGGGTGTTTGGCTAGAAACTGGGTTGATTCCCAGATTTAATGTGATTTGATATAAACATAAACAGGAAGGAAAGTTGAATACCACTGTCAGGGGAAGGAGTGTAGGTGTCCTGTTGTTCCGTCCCAAGGCAAGCTTCCCAGTGCTGGAAATCCAAAATTAGTGATGAGAAATCATAGTTAGCTGCTTCTCTGCAAGAGAAATAATCTTGTCTTTTCCAAGTGTGTTTTGTTGGGTTTTCTTTCCTGATAGCTGCTTGAAGGACAGGCACAAATATTATCTCGGCCACCCACCCTTTTGGGATGTTTTAATGAATGTCGGCTGCAGATTTAAAAAGACAAACAAAGCAAACTCAAACAAATCCTATATTCCTCCTACACCACCACCCCACCCCCAAAAGTAATGCACCTCTGAGCCCACCAGTGAACTCAGGAGGTTTTATGGTGTTTGGGTGTTTTGTTGTTGGGTTGGTTTTTTGGGGGGTTTGGAGTTGGTTTTTTTTAAGGCTTACTGGGGGTTAGATTTGGCTTCAGCGGCAGACTGAAAAGAGCCTGCATGTCTTGTGGAACTCTAATTGCAATCCATGGAAAAGGAAAACGTGTGTTTGGCTAGCATTCTTCTGGACAGCAGGCATCGCTTTGTGGTTTAGAGCTGAAGCCTGCGGTATGATATGATGATAGTGGTACAGGGGTACACTCCTTATCTAAGTTACCGTATGATCTAGGATATGTAAACTGAAGGAGAGAGAGGCTTTCAGTTTAGCATCTTTTAACAGTTTTGAGGTGATTGATCCCCTTTTTCATTTTTAAACTGCATGAAGTGTTGGTTTGGGAAGTCTTGGAAGCTAAGTCCTGCCACTAGAAATTCATCTCCTGTTTGATGCTCCTCTGAGCAAATTTCACCAAAAGTTGCAAAGGAGCCATGTTTTGCAGTGGCCCATGTGTGGTAGGGCTTCCACATCATTAATGGCTTCTGCAAATAAATTTTTTTCCATCTTTGCTATGGCCTGGCCTTTCATACATGCAAAACTCTTTTGGGGGGTTTTAATAGAAGTTGCAGTAGACACTAAGACTTATTTTTTGCATTTTTTCCAGATCAAAGGGAGTCTTGAAATGTTCTATAAACCAGGATTAGCTATCACATTAAACAAATACCACATTTACAATAGTTTCTGACTGTTTCTCTAAGTAGGTAGATTCCTGGCTTAGTTCCTGAAGGTGCGTTACTGACCCACATGTATTGTAGATGTTAACTCAGTTTTCTTTGGTTCTGACAAGTGGTTTAGCCTCACAGCCAAAGTGCTGTGGTCTGAAATCTTCTAATAAGCATGGAAAGAAGCTTGTGATAAACACGCTGCTGATAGATGGGGAAAACAGTTTGTCCAAGGATTGGGGGTTTGAAAACAACAACAAAAAAAAAAAACAAAAAAAAAAAACCAAAGCCAACACCCAAACTCAACCAAATGTAAACCCCCTTAAAAGTCCTGGTATTTAAATCGTTCTATTATATCACACATTCTGAATCTAGGAATACCATGCTTGCGCTATGATTGCAGAAATGATGATAGGAGTTGTTGTTCATCCAACAGGTAACATTCCAAGCTTGCAGCATTTCTGAAGCAAGGTATCTCTATGATCAGCTAGCCACGATCTGTCCCATTGTGGTAAGTAATGGACTTCTATTACATCAGCTCTGCATTGTACAAAAGCTGCTACGTGTAAAAAGAAAAAGAAGTCTAGTGTAAAAAACCCCAAACTTGAATGCTGCTCACAAATTTGGTACTCTAGGAGAAGTGTCAGTCTCTTCCTAGGTTGTCACATGAGCAGTGTGGTTTAGTTAATGTCCAAGTGACACTACAAAATGCATTATGTCTGGTTATTCTCTCCTGCCCTCCTTCCCACATGCATGAGACTCTTGCTGAATAGTTCTAGAAATACATTGGGGGCAGTTTTTCATGAAAACAAGACAAACTCACGCCTTAAAACAATTTTTACTCTGTTACAGAGGTTTTCAGCTTAAGTTGTTTAAATTGTTCCCTTTGTAAGAATGTGGTCATAAACAGGTGTTACGAAAATAAAGTACTGGTCTGGGCTCAGTGGTGAGCAGATCGTGCTCCAGGCGAGGTATATTCCAGCACTGTTGCTAAGGTGCTTGGCCAAACAAAAATAAACAAAATGGTTGCCAGGTGAGCTTTTGGAGTTTGGAAGTGTGCAAGCAGAATACTTGCTGATTCATTGTGAAACTGCTTCGGCCTGTATCATCTTCATATTTCTTAAATGCTGATCTGAAGACATAATAAATTTGAACAGTCAAATGCTCTTTGAGTAATACTAACCCTTTATCTAAGCATATTCTGGACATGGCAGTTAAGAGATTTGTGGCTATGTGGCTTTGGCTGTACGTTAAACTGAAGTACATAATTGAATTGCTTCTGGACCACCAAGTTTCCTTTTCTAGTGGGATTATATTTTGCTTTTGGTTCTTTGGCTTGTCCTTTGTTTTCATATCAGGCTGTTTTATTTTAGATGGCGTTAAGTGCTGCATCTCCATTCTACAGAGGCTATGTGTCTGATATTGACTGTCGCTGGGGAGTAATCTCTGCATCTGTAGATGATCGAACGCGAGAAGAAAGGGGGCTAGAGGTAAGTAATGTCAGGCAGCAGATGTCTGACTCTTTTCAGTCAAAGAAGTTAAAACTCCTTTAGTATCAAATGCTGCTTGTGCTCATCAAAATCCCTAACAAGGGAACATGGCAGTCTTCATGGTAAATGTAGGAGATAATATGAACGTTCACCTTGGCTGTACAATTTACATTAGCAAGTATATATTTTTAGTCAGGTATGAAATCTCAGTAGAATTCCACTTACTCCTCTACAGCTTGCTGGAAAGGTCCCCCTGTGATGAAACTTTGCAGCCTGTGCTTGAGCTCAAAAAGCAAAAATTGCTTTGGATTAAATAGCATGTGCTGATGAGTAACCCAGTAATATAAACTAGAACTATGTGAAAAGATCAGTTATCAGAACTTAAGGAGTCTCTCCAAGCAGGAATTGGGACACAAGGCACTTACACAATTGGAGAAAAAAGAATATAATAAAAAACCCTACTTGAAGTATTTTTTGAATTACCAGTTTTAAGAGCATCTCTAGTAATGCTTGCATAGTGAAACTCTGTGTTGATATGTTTTGCAATAGGTATAATAATGCTTTCCACTAGAGAACTCTAGTCGTTGTGTGATGACTGTTTTTTGGCTCAGATACTCACATCTGCAAACAAAACAGTCATAATTCCAGGATTGCTTTCTAGTAAGCCTATTTAATACATGTGCTTTGAATAATTTTAATTGAGGCTGTAGGGTTTTAAATAGGATAATAAATCTCACATAAGTGTCATTAGTGAGCAAAACTTAGGTAACATTGCTAACAAGCTGTTAAAATATTGTATTCTTAAATTATATAGCCACTGAAGAACAACCTTTATAGAATCAGTAAATCCAGATATGATTCCATAGACAGTTATCTATCTGAATGTGGTGAGAAATACAATGACATTGATTTGACAATAGACAAAGATATCTACGAGCATCTAATAAAGGAAGGTAAGTGTTTGCTTCATTATGAGGAGGTTAAGAATTTTGCTTGCAGTGTGTGGGGATATTTTACATTTTTGTTCTTGTTTGTTTCAATCCTTGTGCATCCCTCACAGTGACTCCTACTCAGGAAGTATCTGTGTAGCATGGTCTTGAGAGTTCTTTAAAAAGTATTCGTTTGTAACAGAAACTGTCCCCAGTTCCAGCTTGAGAAGCTCAGCGTTTGAAGCATTAATGTTTTATCTTTGTGGAGAGAGCACAACTGCTTTAGGAAACACGGCACAGAGGTGCATCAGAAAACAGGAAGAATGGCAGCCACACCAGTGTTCAGCTGCCATTTCCAAACAAGAACCTGCTTTGTTTTGGGTTTTTCTTTTTTCCTCTTTAATCATTTCCTTCCTTCCTTCCCGAAGTCATCGTTTAAACTTTAACAGGATGTGGTGGGTTGAGGTAGCATTGCAGAGTTGGATGTTTTCAGTCTTGTAAAACAAATAATTTCCCAGAGCTTGCTTTGCTATGTGTGAATTGTTTGTTTGAATTTTCATTTTTAGGTATTGACCACCTTTTGGCACAGCATATTGCACACTTGTTCATTCGAGACCCATTGACTTTGTTTGAGGAGAAAATACATCTAGATGATGCAAATGAATCCGACCATTTTGAGGTTGTGTCTGATTTAGAGGAATTTAATACATATATACATAAAATGGCTTATTCTTTATAGTACTGCTTAACTGGAGCATAGCTATATTAGCTAAGAAGGTTTCTCCTGGATTTTTCACTTCAACTAGTTCTTTAGCATAGGACTGCAGTTATAATCACTATTTATTTATTTGTTTTATGATTTATTTAGGGAGAAGGTGGTGGCTTATGCTTTAAAACAAAGTATGAAGAGCCCAAACTATAGCTATGTTATTTTCATGGCTTCCTAAAAACTGTTTTGCATTACATTTGTCTATAAATGTCTCTTGCACAGCTTTATGAAATAACTACTATGGTGATATTAGGTATTTTTAGTTTGGGATGCATCAACCCTTAGTTTATTTAATCAAGTCAGCTGAATCTCAGCTCCCTATTATCTTATATGTAATCCTCAAACAAAATAGCATGAGAAAGTGTAATGCATTTGCTCCTAGGTTGGGTAGTTATATTATGGTTTTTAGGAAGTCATGCCACTTAGTTTAGAAGCACTTCTCTAACTCGATTGGCTGTTCCTGGGAAAATATTAGAGCTCTAGTTACCTGCTTTTCCTTTGATTATATTATAGAATGATGCATATCTTGATTCTGACAGATTATTTCATGTGCTTTGCAGAATATTCAGTCTACAAACTGGCAGACAATGAGGTTTAAGCCACCTCCTCCAAATTCAGATATTGGATGGAGAGTGGAATTCAGACCTATGGAGGTAAGAAAGGCATCAGTATGCACAAAAGCACTTTTCCTTTTAAGTGGAGAAGTACCAGGCATCTTGCTATCCAGTCTCAAACCCTTATCACTTATGCAGTGTTTTCTCCCCTCTGAATTGTTGGATGCAAGTGAAATGGACAGCAGTGTTTAATCAGACATGGACTGTGGGAATGTAACTGACAGGGGAATCCACTGCAGCACAGCAAAGCATGCTAATAGATTTTGAGTGATGGGGAAAGGAATTAGGCTTGTATTAATGCAACAGTAAATAAATCCTCATTTAGCTTCCAGGGACTGTATTTCTCCAGTACTTTTCTTGGTACTGAATAATTCCACTGTCATTGTTTCGTTCTTTTTTTTTCACAAGTGTTTTTATTTTATAACTGTCTGTTTCTGAGCGCTCTGAATTTAATCCTTTTAAAGGTGATATCTAAAAGCTATTGTACATTTGTAATTACACAATGAACCTGAAGATGGAGGTTATTAGTCTTTTGAAACCCAAGTGTGTTTTGGTGTAGGATTAATTGTTGATGGATGTGTGTGTGTTGTGCATTTGAAGCCACTGGATGATTCCTGCTTGTCCATCGCCATCTCTACTAGCAGAGTGTATATGAATACAGGTACCAACATGAATGTTCAAGTCAAATTGTTTTAAACTCTCCCAGGTATTTACTTACTGCCATAAGTGTGTTCCCACTAAATTAATATAATCTCTAATCCTTTCATGTCTAGGTCCAGTTAACAGACTTTGAAAACTCTGCATATGTTGTGTTTGTGGTGTTGCTAACCAGAGTGATTCTGTCATACAAACTGGATTTTCTCATTCCTTTGTCCAAGGTAGGTGTGAAAGATCAGATCTGTTAGAGCTAAATGCAAGGTGTTTGCATCAAGTCTGATTTTTATCCTCTGCAAGCTAGGAACTAGTAACACTTGTATACTTACAGAACAGTCAATTTTATTTTTCAATCAGTTTTTATCTGTACCAGTACTTTGAATCAATTTCAGCTCTGCAGTCTTAAACGGATAGTTTACTGCGGTCTCATGGAATTAAGGAATTTCTGTGGTGCCTAACAGTGACTGACTAGTGCAAAAATGTTGAGAAATGCTGTTGTCACAAGACTGCTTTTGAGACTGGGAAAGGGAATGTTTCCACGGGAAAGGGAATGTTTCCACCATTTTACACATGAGAGGGGGAATGCCCTGTGGAGGTCAAAATAAAAACTTTAGGTATTTATTTTAACATGGCTGTTGCCTATGTCTTACTCTTTATTTTGCTTGTATCAGATGGAGAGGGAAAGGAGGAGTTCAGCAATGCTTGGTGTTACAGTATATTTGAGTGAAAGCAAATACTGTTGATTCTGGTCAGAGCTGTGACTTGTGTTTAGGCAGACCGGCCATACAAAATGTGCCTTTTCCTTAATCTTGTCCTCACAATTGTTGAACTGTTTTGTGTGGAACTGTCCTTGCACATCATCTTTCTCAGGCACCTGGCCTGAAAATGTCTTTTAAAATGGATAGCTCTGCAATGTTATATGTAAAATTAGTGCAGAATTGCAGTGAAGAAGGCTTTTAACAGACCAGATACTAGAAAATACTACCAGCACAAAGACATAATATGCTGTGGGTTTTCTTAGTGTTTTTAATTAAAATGGAGAAATACCAAAGTTGTAACGGTAATCGTACTATACAGTTGGTATGATTTCTAAAAGGAGAAATTCTCTTCCTGATGTCAGGGGGTTCAGACTTCATAAACAAAGTAGCAGTTTAGCACTTAGAGTGTATAATTACATTGTTATTTGGAATACCTCAAAAGCACAAATTTTTTAACTAATGAATACTAGATAAGGCTGAAAGAGAGATGAGGTGCTGAAAACATTGAGTTGAGGGGCTGAGGAGGGCATAGAATTGAGCTTGCCAAGCAATTTGGCAGGTAATGCAGCACAGAATTGTGCAACCATTAGTAAGCCTGCCTCTTTCAAGTAAATAATACGGGTTTATGGGGCTAACCTCGCACTAATCTTTGCTGTCGGATTGAGTGTGTTGTACTCCCATCAACTAGGACTGCAGTGCTTTCAAACTTTCAAAACAGCCTGTTGTGTAAGTAGGTTTCATAATATCAAATGAATGAAATCACTTTTGAAAACAAAGGTTTGAAAGGTAAGAAGTGAAGGTTTTGCATGGCCCTTAGTAAAAGGTCAGACAAATAATTCAGTAGATCATGTCCCTTCTTCGGAAAACAATACAGTAAAGCTAATGTCTGAAAGCTGTGTGATGCTGAATCTGTGAGAACATACCAACCAAAGAATTCGGACAAAAATCTTCTATTCAGAAAGACAGAGCAGTGCTTATGCTATTTGCAGAAAATATGAGCAGTGCTTTGTAGTTTGACTTTTTGAGAAGTCTGCAATTTAGAACTTCTTTACTAGCAGTCTAAGTTTGTGTTTGTTTGGGTATGGAAAGATATGATTCCCTTACAAAGTTACTGGAATTCTGTTTCTGTAAGTTTATTTAATACAGTGATGGATCTTCTAAAGACTTCAATGATGTTGTTAATAAAAGCAGCAAACTATGGCTAGGGAAGTGGCGATTTTCTCCTGTACTCATTCAGATTGCATCTAAATATGCCAAGAAGTCTGCCAGGTGGGATGCAATGTGTTAATCACAGCTGTTCTTGTGTTTTCACCCAAACTTAAAATACTAGCATAGCATGTTCTAATGTAACACCATTACCTTTTCTGCTGGAGACCCAATTACACAGAGGCTCATCTCTTTGTGGTTTTGTCCAGGAGCACTGAAGAATGAAATAAAACTTACCTCCACAGCTTAACCTTGTATGACAATATAGTAAAAGTAGATGTTTCAACTAATGAGACCAAAATGGGAGGGTTTGGGAGAACCCTGATTTTCTAAAAATGTCACAAATCTCTGAAATACTTCTTTTGCCAGGTGGATGAAAACATGAAGGTGGCCCAGAAAAGAGATGCTGTCCGGCAGGGAATGTTTTACTTTAGGAAAGATATCTGCAAAGGTATGAAAAGAAGCAATCTGATTAACATTCTTGTGGATGTTAAGTATATCTCTTGCCTTCTAACAATTTCTTCCTTTCCCTTTGTCATTCGTGAAGGTGGAAACACTGTTGTGGATGGATGTAGCTCTGCGCAGAATGGAACAGGCACCAATGCTGAAGAGTACACCTTAATGAGCATTGATACAATTATCAATGGGAAGGTCATAGCCAGTTCTGCCTGGAGCACAACACTTTCCCCTCTGTTCTGCCCTCCCAGAAACCAGATTGAGTATGTTTTGTATGCTGACTCTGTTCTCTTACACAGGAAGGAGTCTTTCCTGGTTTGATCCCAATTTTGAATTCCTATCTTGAGAACATGGAAGTGGATGTGGACACAAGGTGCACCATCCTAAACTACCTGAAGCTAATAAAAAAGAGAGCATCTGGTATGTTTGACACTGTTGGACATTGATTTTCCTGGCATTTTTCTACTTGGATGGTAGTTGGTCTGGTTTATAGTTTTCAGTTGGGTAAACCTGGTGGCAGCTGTGGCTGTCTGGTTTAGTGTTAAATTATAGGAACAAAGGACTGGAGTGTGTTCTCTGGCTTAAATCTGGTCCTGTATAATTCCAATTGTTTTGTGATCCATTTTAGAACTTAAATTAGGAGTAACTGATACAGTTACATTACCTTCTAAGCTGCAATTGTATCTCCAGTCCCAGATTGCTCTTTTCAGCACTTAATGCTGCTTTTGCCAGTATATTTTCCATTTCATAGTAGTTTGCACATACAGTAATCCCATTTGCTGGTCACTTGGATGTTGTAAGAGTATGTGGGACTGGGTCCAATAGCCTAGTGTTACTGGTATGACTCCAAATCATTCATAAGTCTAAATTCTGAGCATGGGACCTTGCCTTTAGCTCTCTGTTAAGAAAGCCCTTCTGTAAGTAGCAAAATTCCTTCAAGGCAGAGCAAACCAGGCTTCTCCCTTCTTCCACATGCTGCAGTGTTTTTGAAGACGGGCAGTATAATGACTCTTTATGCTCCTTTTTAAAATGCAGCAGTATAATAAGTAAAAGTTGCAGGCTAAACTGGAATTCAGAGCAGGGCATGTAGCAAAGTCTGCAGCAGCTTTATACCTTTCTGTGTACACATCCCATGTATGCCTGCCTTGCTGTAAATTTAGCTAGGCAGTTAATTTTACCTCCTAAGTCAGGACTCCCTCCCACACCTCACCTGAATTTTAAACTAAAGTGTTGCATTCCTTTATAATTCTTGAAAATGGCTGTAGAAGATCTTTTTAAAGCTGAGGCAGAAATCAGAACTTTTTTTTGCCTGGTAATTCAGTGCTTCAGCAGTAGTTCAGAATGGTAGTAAGTTTTAATTACTGCATCTAAACTCTGGTGAGCTGAAATGATTTTTAAATGATGCTTCTTAAGAACCAGAATTCCCAGAATAAAAGGCATTAGGTATTGCATTACTGGGCCATGATGTTTCTCGGTTGTGAGTTTTGGGTTATTTCAATTTAATCTCAATCTTAAATCAAATGTTCCTGAACTGCAGCCTGTCTAGCATGAGACGTGTCCACCAAGAGTGACCATTTTTCAGATTTCTCTCTTCACATGGTGAACACAAAGCACTCAGAGTTAACACTGGCACCTTAGCTGCTCTGGCTTTAACCTTCCTCTGATGTAGTTTTATCTGTTTTTCAGTCACATCTTCCTCTGTAGCACAGCTAGGTATTGCTCTCTTGGTCTTTGTTTAAATGCTCTTCACAGTTATTTCAAGATATACCTTCTAGTTCCTACATTGTAAGATAATGTTTCTCTACTCGCTTCTCATCAACATTCATGATTTTGCAAAGGATGGGGAGGGATTGGTCTGTCTGACCACTAGGTGTCTGTGTTGCTGAGAGCTGGGCTGCTCTCCCTTCTTACCTCACAGTTAACAAACCAAGAGCTGGTATAACAGTGCACTTGCCTGGTTTTTGCTAGGATAGCTGCCAGAGGGAGAAAGAATAGTAAGTCAAGGTAGACAGAGCAAAACTAGCAGCTGAGTTGTATGGATCAACTACAAAATCATTTTATACACACATATATATTTATATGTAGCTGTTGTAGGGATGTCTGTTGGTTCATCTAACCCAGCGTGTTAAATGACATATTTAAAACCTCTTGCTATACAATCTGTTGGTAACACCTGTTCCAGTTGCTACTTCTGTCTGCACTGTTTTATTACAACATCTGAAAATTTGAAGATCGCGCCAATGAAGTGAGCTTTAGACTATATCGGCAATAGCTTATTTATGACTCCAGTTTAACCGTATCCAGGAAGAAAATATATATTGGAATGTGTTTGTCATTAAAGCATGGACCATTCATTAATTGTGTACATAATGCAGAGAACTTGAGGTGTCATACTGCTAAATTAGGTGTATAACTGTGAGATTTGACTTCCCCTTGCCCACAGGAGAACTGATGACAGTTGCTCGATGGATGAGGGAGTTTATCGCACAGCATCCAGACTACAAGCAAGACAGCGTGATAACTGATGAAATGAATTACAGCCTTATTTGGAAATGCAACCAAATTGCACAAGGCCAGGCAGAGTGCCCTGAACTATTGGGGATAGGGTTTAGTAAGAAACAAAGCGGAAACAAAACTGGCTCTTTGTAATGAATTGATATTTCTTAAAAGAAAGTTTAAGCCTTTTAGCAAAGCACTAGCAAAGATACTGTGAATCTGGTACAGTTTCATGGTGTGAAGACCAAAACAGGGATACTGCACTATAAAGTGGGCCAATCTGCCTAAATATTCATTAAGGCATCCTAAAATGGGCATATTCTTAAGGTTTATACAATATACATGTAAATAGTAAAATATTTTTATGATTAACATCAATGTATTTTAATAACATTGTATCTAAAGTTATTGTGAATTAGCTTGCAACTTTTTTATGCCTATTCTAGAAAGAAAAATCGTCCTTTGTAAATGTAATGGTACTTGTACATTATATGCATTCCAGTTACTGAATGTTTACTGTAATTTTTTTTAACCTGGAATGTGCTAAGTAATCTACCTTATTGTGTAAGAAAAAGGAAAAAATCATCTGGACCTGTCTGAATTGCAGATACTTCTTCCTTCCATTCGGGTTTTGAAAGTATGTAAGAACACACAAATGCATGTGCATCCCATTTGTTAATCTTTACAGCAGTTTCTCAGTTGCCACAAGACCTGCATCCTTCAACTGTAAAATTCAGAGGAACACATCTGTCTTTATTCGAATAACCTGCAGATGCATTGTTATTTTTTTCCCTGCTGAAGTAAATGTGTACACTATTGCAGGTCAGAAATTTGCCTTATTTAACAAAAAGCCAGTAACAGTGCAGGCATGGTACAGGGAGGAGGAAATGAGAGCTGAACATAAAGCTCTCCTTACAGAGGAGCCAGAGAGCCCTGCTCTGTCCTTCACTGCTCATTCTCCCATGTTGCTGCTGTTCCCACAGGCAACAGTGGTACAGCCCAAAACCAAACATCTGTTCATTCTTCCTGAAAGTTGAGTTTCTCATTTGTCATTCATTATAATAAATACTTCTGTCAGCATGTTTAGGTCCTGTAGGTAGGGACAACTTAATCCCCTCTAGAAAATAGTTACAAAGAAATTACAGCTACTCCTTTGAAGTGGGAGTCGGTGCTGGGAGTGACTGTAAGGTATTTAAAATTTAGCCATTGCAACTGTAAATAAAGCAACCTAACGGGGCCTTTTTGATTTAGCTTCTTAACCGACTTCTAAAAGTGAATTGCATTATGGGTAGATAATGCAAAGCTTTATGCAAGCACACATGAAATACCTAAGGTGTAATGAATTTTTACAAAAAACTAATGGAGAAGCTGCAACGGAGAGATGCACTAAGATGCTTTTATGTACTGACATTAGCCTTTGTTCTGTGCTCACAGGTGTGCTTTAGAGAATAAGAAGAGCGCTGTTTTCCTGCTGTGGTGGATTTGTTTTACTCAAGCTGTAGGCCTGTGCTCATTTAGTTTCTGTAATAAGGAAATAAAAAATAAAATTTGCAGTACGTGTTGGTCACTTGCATGACTTGAGCCCATGTTTTCAGATTGAAAGAAGGAAGAGTGCAGTACCTGGCAAATGCAGCTCATCTTATCTAGACTCACTTCATTCATATTAAAATGGTTTACCACCTCTGCAACATTGCCATTGTAGCATGTGTCTGATTGCATGGCCTTAGCTACTATGCTTGGAAGACCCCTAAAATAGTTGAATGCTTTCCTGCTGTTACTGCATCAGCAAATGTCTTTTTTCCCTTTTAGTTGACATTAAGTCACCCTTCTTGACCTAGTAGGTGGCTACAAGTAAGCATCTTGTAAGTGAATGCAAATTTTGTCATAATGCCCAAGAGATGTGGCTGGAAAGTTTCCTTCATGAATTCTTGCATGTGTGATTTTTGGAGAGGGTGAAGGAAGATCAAACACAAAGCTGCTGCTTATTTATTGAGGTGTCTGTGGTTGCAGTGTCTAAGGAGCTTACATTCCCCAGGTGAAGAGTTAAGGTATGTGCTCCAGCCTGTTCTCCATGGTCTGGCATGGTGAAGGCTCTCGGGGCAAACCAGAGCTGCTGCAGGGAGGGACAAGCTTTACCCCTAGTTCTGAATATGCCCTAGAAGTGGCTGTGTGGTATCAGCACCGGCTCCGAGGTGAAGCAGCAAGCCTTGGGCAGAGCCTCAAGCTCTGGCTGCCCTTTTGCAGAGAGCATGAGAAGCTCCCTTGGGTTATGAATTCAGGATTCCTGGTCCTGCAGTCATGAGGTTTTTCCATGGAAATAAGTGACCTTTCCAAGAGCCACCTGAACAAAGGGAAGGGAAGAAGCACCTGAGGTGAAACATGATTGTTCTTTGCCCAAAGACCTTAATGCGTCAGTCATGGCACTTCCTGCAATCACTAATGTGTTGGCCCCAGCTCAACGCCAGTAATTTGCTTCATGCTTTCAACTCAATTCTCAGCTAGAAGATCCTGTTGGGATTTCTGGAGGTCTATAAATGGTATTCTGATACCCAGTTTTCTCCTGGGAGTCAAACTCCTTGAGTAAGAGTGCCTTTATTTCTGAATTATTTTAGCTATGTTTTTATCATGGCCTAAATCATGAAAATGTGGTTCCTTTTGTGTGTGCGCAGAGCTCTATGAGCAGTTTGCCTTTCTGGGACTGGTGCTTCAAGAGCTTTGTACAATAATTCAGTCCTGCAAAAGCAATCTGACCTCTGAAACAAGCATCATGCAGCTTGTAGGAGGTGCACTGGGCTGTCTCGGAAAATGACCTCGCCTTTTGTTTGCAATAACTTTGTTTAATATTTCAAGTGGATTATATTTGGTGTGCTGATAGCAAATTGTGAGAGACTTCCTGCTGCATGGGAAGCTGGTCAGAGGAGAGGTGACAACTGAGGTTATTTCAGCAGTTATCTGGATGTTGTGAGCTGGATTTCAGCAGGAAAGGATTGCTGCAGTCCCAGGACCTTCTGTCTGGCTCTTACAAATAAACAGCAGCACATTAACACATGCAGTAACAGGGTAGTGTGGATGTTCTCTGTTCCAGGACAGCAGATAGGGATCAGAAATACAATAGTTCCCCTTGCTGCAAGGAGTATGGGAAGATTACTGTAACGCTGAGCAGTGCAAGAGCCCATGTTTTACAAGAGAACAGAAGGCAGAATATGCATTTTGAGCATTACAGCAGAAACCCAGGCTTCCAAGGTCTGAAAGACCTGATGCATCATCAGAACCTTCTTGAAGCCCCTTTGTAGAGAAACAACGTTTGTAAACTGTGACCTCTGCAATGAGCGTACTTGAACCCTGATGGAAGAGGGGGACAGTGTGCCTCCTGCTGTGGGCAGGTGACTGAGTAGCAAGTTTTGTGGTTCTCATCACATGAGCTAAGAGATGGCAGCAACAGCATCTCCTTTCCCTTTAAACAATGCAATGCCTTTCCTGAAGAAAAGTGTGACTGTCCATAAGTGCTGGCAACAAATTCAAAAACTGGGTGGAATTCTATGGCTTATGTTAAGCAAGAAATGGGTATGTAGTCTTTTAAGTCTGACACAGAACACAGTATGTTAATTTAGCCATTGAATTTAGTTATGTATCTCAAAGATACTCTTACAGCTACCTCTGTTACATGACTTAAAGGGAAAGCTGTAATCAGGATGGCAGCGACAAGGTAAGCAAAGTGAGGCTAACACCCAGAGGCATGTTGTGCTCAAAAAACACAAATGAAAGTGTTGGTGCATGACGGCTCCTCATCACTGACTTCCAAGAGTTTGTGTTCTGGCTGGAAAACTGCTAGTTTATAAAATATGTAAGCAAGAACTCTGATGTGGTCCCTGAGCTACAGCAGTGTTAACGTCGCCAGCAAAGCGCAATAACCCCGGCATGGAGAGTGGAAAACGAGCGAGGGCTCTCGCTGGGGTGTGCTGGTGGCACAGGCAGGGATGAGGAGGGGAAAAGCTCACTGCTACGCCCAGGGCCAGCCCTAGGTGTCCTCCTAAGTTAAGCAGCAGCGCAGCGAGCTGGAGAAGGAAAGTAGCTGTTCTCTGAGGTGCAATGAGAAAAAGGAGGCAGAGCCACAGCGGTATTTCAGGTCCAAATCCTCTGCCCGTTTTGGCCCAAGTTCCTACTCCTGGGCTTAGCTTCAGACTCTGCGGCTGGTGTAAACCTCTTCAGGTCCTGATGTCCCAGTGACTATGCACCCTCCCTGCTGCCTTCCCCCTGGGAGAGGAGCTGCCCCTGTGGACACCCTGGCCAAGAGCTCTCCAGGTTGCCAGGGTGTGCAAATGTCCCAGAGCATGGCAGACCCGGTGTGTGTTTCAGAGGGTATGCAACAGCACCGGCTGGAAATAGGCCAGCCTGTCCCTTGCAGAGGTTCAGTTCAGCTGCACAATTGCGCTGCTGGGAGCAAAACTGCCACCGTCCAAATTAAAATGTGCAACATCCAAGCCAGACATGAAACATCCTGAACAGCCATGTGGGGTGGAGAGGAGGATTCCCTTCTCAAATGCGGTTAGGTCTTGCTCTTAAAGTAATGAATTCTAGACAAAAAACTTCACTCACTGTTTAAAACCAAATCTGTCTGGGCCTCTGTCCTGGGCTCAGCAGTAGCAGTCATTTTTCTCCTTCTTAGTAGCTGGTGCAGTGCTGTGTTTTTGACTTTCAGCCTGGGAACAACGCTGATAACACCAGTGTTTTTAGTTACTGCTCAGTAACATTTACTCTGACCAAGGACTTTCTGAGTCTCAAGCTCTGCCAGGGAGGAGGGGAAGCCAGGAGGAAGCAGAGCCAGGACACCTGACCCAAACTAGCCAAAGAGGTATTCCATACCACAGCACGTCATGCCCACTGTATAAACTGGGGCAGTTACCCAGAAGGGCTAGATCACTGCTCGGGTTGGGCTGGGTATCAGTCGGCGGGTAGTGAGTGGTTGTATTCTCTTCCCTTGTTATTTCCCTTATCATTATTATCATTGGTGGTAGCAGCAGTGATTTGTGTTATACCTTAGTTACTGGACTGCTCTTATCTCAATCCATGGGAGTTACATTCTTTTGATTATCCTCCCCATCCCTCCAGCGGGGGGGGGAGGTGGGGGGTGGGGGGGGTGGAAGAAGGAGGAGGGAGGGAGTGAGCAGCTGCATGGTTCTGAGTTACTGGATGGGCTTAAACCGCAACAGGTTCCTCAGAGAATGACACAAAATAACACATTTCAAATTGTCTTTCCCCTCTACTTATGCCGCAGCTTGACTGGCACTAATCCCATTGCTTCTGCCGGGACAGGGATAGGGCATTTCCAGAGGCACAGGTGAACAGCAGAGCTCCAGAAGGGAGTGTCCATGTGTTCCTGGAAACTCATTCTGACTTCCCACTTCCCAGTCATCCCAGCACATGTGATGTTATTGCTATCTGCCCGTTTCCATGTAGGCCACAAGGATTTGATGATGTGCCATGGCTGGGTGGGCCAGGTCCTCTGGCTGTGACTCCAGCTTCCAGCAATGCAGCATGTTTTGGCCTTGCTGTGAGCTGATAGAATGACACTGCCCTGAATCCAAACCCAGCATTAGGACAAGCTTTTAATTTTCATCATACCTTGGAGGAGCAAAACCCGCACAACAGGAAACTCAGGAGATTCAAACTGTGCAACAAGGGTATACAGCGAAAAAGCTCTGCAGGCTGCTCTGATTTTCAGTGGCTGCCTTCTGTGCTCACATGTCTGTTCAAAGCTCTGTAATGCAGTTCAAGATATATCAGGGCAAGCCGTACTCTGGGGGAGAGGAGTACTTCCTCCAGGACCATAGTGTCCTGAAGGGGATAATTTGCCAGGCACATCACCAGTCAGAACATCAGCAGAGCTGGTTTCTGTTTCCAGCTCAGCTTTCCTCCTGAAAGGGAGGCTTTATCTCCCTTTTGTCCTACTGCAGCCAATAGACTTTTCTAGTATGAAAACGTTGGTGTCAGGCGTGTTTGCTGCTGCAATGGCATGCCACAACACCGCACAGCTAGAGCCTCCTGTTGATGTATGGCAATCAGAGGCATGATGCTGACCTAGAAGAGCCCGCAGGATGACGTTCTGTGCTGAGTCTGGTTTTCTAATTGCAAGTAAAGTGAAACGCATTATGATCAATTTCATTATCAAACTGCTCTGTCTTTAGAACATTTCCTCAGCCATGCCCAGGGTTTGAGAGAGATGACATAGTGACAGCCTTGCACACCCATTTCCTAGCTTTTATAATGGACAAACACAGAGCATGAATAAACTTGGCCTGTACTAGATAATTCCTTCTAAACAACTTTTACTGGTGGAGCCCACTGGCAGTGAGGACCTGTAATCAGCCAGACTTGTGAGTTTATATGATACCTACCATGAAAAGACATCTGGGGGCTGTGTCCTGGGGCACCACAGGTGGCATGGGCCTCCCAGGGGATACTGCAGGCAGTGCTGAAATCTATAAATACCAGTGCTGTGCCTTCATGGCATACCTCCAGGTGGAGACCAGCTGCTGTGATAAGTAAGTCCTACAGC